GCCTCAGTGTCCCAAGTTGCTAGAATTACAGGCTTGTGCCACCAGGCTGGGCATTGGCCCTGTGACATTTCTATTCTCTTTAAGGGGGTCCTAAGTGAGGTTTAGGTTTGGGATGTGGATCAGTGGTAAGGCACTTCCCTGGCATGCATTCAGCCCTTGGTTCACTCCCCASGATCTCAAAAGTGAGGATGAGTCACCTGTCCATAGGGGGACTGGTGAGCCTTTAGACTCCTTGATAACTAGTGGGATTAGTGTTCGGGGGACCAGAGGTGGATCTGGGTACTGAGGATTTGATCCCCACCACCACAGAGCTATGGCTTACCAGGATTTGGACCTCAGCTGGATGAGAAGGGGTTTTTCAGGCTTGGCCTGAAAGGGTGCCTCTGTTCCCTGCAGATTCAACAGGATGAGCATCAGGACCGTACCCACACTCCAGGACGTGGTGATACAGAATATACTGCGCAATGAGGCCTTGCTCATTCCCAGTCTGGAATACCTGCCCAGGGTGCTTACACTGCAGTTGTACAAGGAGGCTATAATGGGGGGTCACATGGAGATGCTAAAGAAGATGGTGCTGTACTGCCCCTTGGCCTGTCTGCCCGTGGGCTACCTGCTGAGGACAAGAGATGTGAAAGCCTTAAAAACCCTACTGAATGGATTAGACTGGCTGATTTCCAAGAACATTTACCCCAGGTGAGGGGGGCCCAGGAAGAGACATCTGGGGGAGGCAGGACAGGGTGAAGGGTGGACCAGGTGGTGCCAGAGACTTGGATGCCCTGCCCCCTCCACAGGAAGGGTCCCTGGCTGGATTCAAGGAGAAAGGACTCGGAGAAAAATAGGAGAGCAGAGGAGCAGCCACCCAGAACAAGGGGTTCACTGGGGTCTAATGCACAGGTTGGAAGTCGGTGGGTCTTTGTCTATTTTTTGAGCCTCCTTCCCATTTTCTCCGTAGGAAATGGAAACTGAAAGCAATCAATTTTCAGGAAGTGAATCAGGACTGCCCCAATGAGTGGTCCAGAGCTCCACTGGGTGCCTGCTCACAAGAGGCCATGTCTCCAAAGGAAAGAGAGAAATGTAGCCAAAGAGCAGGGAAGCCACACTTGAAAATCTTCATAGATTTTGATCTGGACAAAGTCTTCCAAAGATTCCTTGGCAGCCTCAGGGAGTGGGTGGAGGAGAGAAAGGGGGTGGTCCGTATATACTGCGAGAAGCTTCAGATTGGGGGTTTCTACTTGAAACTCTCTAAATTCCTGAGGACTCTGCCATTGTACTACGTGCGGGAACTGGAGGTGAATGCTCAGCACTGGACTCGAGAAATAATGGAACATTTTTGTTTTGTCCTGATCGAGATGAGGAACCTTCGCATCGTCCATATCTCTGACTTGAGCCCACAGGTCTTCACAGGCCGCTCCATAAACAGGTGTTATTCTCATAGATTCAGCCTTCAACTGAGGAAGGTGAACAAACTCCGTGAGCTCTATGTGAACAAAGTCTTCTTCCTCTACGGAGCGCTGCACAAAATCCTCCTGTAAGCATGAGGGGTGCACATTGCCGCAAAAGCCATTTTTGCTTACTGAGCATTAAAAGGGCTTGTGCCCTGGCCACTAGCCATTTCAGGGGAAAAGATTCTGGAGAATGACCGAGTGACCCCATGTTCTGGTCCCCTGCTCAGTCCTGAAGGATGGTCTCATCACCACCCACACAGAAGCAGAGGGCTAAACTGGGGTGCATGGTCTGGGAAGTGCCACCATGTTGGAAAGCCAGCTGGGAGGGACACGAGCTAGTGAGGGTGGATGAGATTCCTTTTCTAGGAGGCCTATCCAGCGAAGGAGGTGGTAGACAGGGTAGAGGAGAGGGCATTGGATTAGGGAAGCCCCCACACCTGACCTTGCAACAGAGAAACTCTGTGCTCTCCAGGGAGGAGCAGAGGAGCCGCCCCCAATGCCTCCCTGGGAAAGGCTGCTCTGAGCCTCAGGTGGTGATTTGGAGTTGAGGGTGAGGAGGAGGGATGGAGGGAAAAGGGTGTGAACCTCCCCTGTGGATAACCCGGGTTGGTTTCCTTCATCTTGCCCAGAATTTTCCTTCCTACATGACTCCCCCTGACCTCCTGTGGCCAGAGCTGTGGCCTTTGGCTTGGCAGTGAGTGGAGGAGCCTTAGAGATGATGGACCCACCTGGTCACTCAAGTGGTGGTGAAAGGCTCACCCTGAAATGGGTGATGTGTACCAGCAGATTCTGCAACCCGCAGTGTCCTGGGGGTCCACCATCATCAGAAGGTCAGGGCGACCTTGGGTTTGRGATTAGAYAGTTCTCKMCTACCATTTCCCACTATATCCACGTGACGTGGTGCCTTCATTCTCCAGAAGTAACTCTTTGCTTTCTCTCCAGGAGTCGGACCCCYTTGAAAACACTCTCGCTGAGAGGTTGTCCGCTCAAGGAGAAGGATTTAAAGCATCTGTCCATGTGTCCGAGCACTGATCAACTGAAGTGTCTGGATCTCAGCTCTTTTTSCATGAAAGRTATGAGTCCTGAGCCCSTCYRGGTCCWGCTGRAGAAGGTGGCACACACCCTTGAGACCCTGGTCTTAGARTTTTGTGAGATAACAGAGTCCCAGCTAAATGCCATCTCACCAGCCCTGGGTCACTGTTCCCAGCTCAAAACCTTCAGTTTCTGTGGGAACCAAATCCCCTTGACTGCTCTTAAGAACTTGCTGAGCCACACTGCTAGCCTGCTGCTGGAACAAGCGAACTACCCTGCCCCTCTGAAGAGCTTTGATGAAATCTTCTGGGGTTTTTGGACTGAGATCAACCCCATGAAATTTGACCAGGTTCGGAAGGAATTGAGGCAGCTGGTGAAGGACATCAGGCCTGTCCATGACACCCAGATTTATTCTTATGATTGTGTTCTTCACCTCAAACATACAGATTTTATTGCCTGAAACCCAGTGGAAATTCGATAGGCAGGGGATTGTTGACATGCACAACACATTAGCTTTCTTGGGCTGGGGGTGAGGCTCAGGTAGAGTGCACCCTGCAGGCATGAGGCCGTGAGTTTGATCTCCAGAACCTCAAGAAATGCTTCCTATAAATTTCTGATGGGATTCATGAGTGCATATGGCCTCAAGTTTGAGTCCAGCCTTGAAAACTCAGGAAAACCATCTCAAAATAAGGGCTGGGGATGTAGCTCTGGTCAAATACCCAGGCTTCAATCCCCAGTGCCCCTGAAAAATGGGTTATGTTGGCCATCAGGAAGATAGGTATAAGGGCCTTCATTTCATTATGCTACTTGTTTTTGGCTCTATTATTACATAATAAAAATGTACTAAATTTTCACTGGTATGATGATTTTTTTTTTTTKTGTGTGTGTGTGGGTATTGAACCAAAGGGTGCTCAACAATTAGGCCACATCCCCAACTATTTTTAAGACAGTTTCCAAGTTGCCCAGGACATAATTAAGTTGCTGAGGGTAGCCTTGGACTTGATTCTCCTGCCTCAGTCTCCCAAGCTACTGGGACTACAGGTGTGTGCTACCACACCCAGCTGCTAATTTGTAATCCTTTGGAAGCATGGGGCATAACTGCCATACCTGCCTTGCTGGATTTGAAGCTCTGCTTTTTTTCTGTGCCTCTGCTCAGGGCCAAGAAGCAAGTCTGAGCTACCAAGACAGACCAGCAGTCCTGTAAGCCTGGTGCTGCCTGCATATTTGTTCAGGGAAGTGAGGGGGAGGTTAATTCAGAAAGATCAGACAACCGTAGCCAAGGTCAGAGGACAGAAATTGCAGGTACTTTAGAATTTTAGTCTGCACTGTGTGACCAGGCTATTTAAAAGGACTTCCAGTTGCCTAATTCAGACACCACTGGAGGTTCAAGGCTACCTTCTGGCATAACTGAGGAACAGGATACAAGACTAGGATTGTTTTCTGTTTGGTGGAGGCTCAAAATGGGTTTTTTTATTTGGTCATTTGCTAACAATCTGCCCAGTGTGACCAATAAAACAGGACACTCCTGGACCCCATTCTTGTGGATTTACCCAAACCATTTCTCCACTATTCTTTTTGCGATCAAATAACTCTCTCCTTGCTCCAAGCATCTGCAGCTTCCAGAATGAGCAGATGTGTGTTCTGAAGGGGCTCAGATCTGTACAATTGTGGCCAGGCTGCATTTGGGAGGAGTGTGAAAAAAGGTCAAAGTGCTGTCACCTTCTGCAGCAGCAGCATGTTGCTTAGGTCACTCTCCTTCAAGCAATTGGCTCTCTCTCCCTCTTGGAGTGAACCTCTGCTACTTGCTATGCAGGATCAGTAGCTGGAGCAGGGGTTCAACTACTGTGGTGACTGTGGCTCTGCCTGTGGAAGGGGCAGGCAGGGGGCTCTCTGCTGTCCCCATATGCCCCATACTCCCCAATACTAGATTGGCTCCTCCTCCAGGTCACAGTTGGCATCACCTCTGAGGCCCTCTCTGAACACCCGTTCGACCACCCATGGTTGTTCCATAAAAGGAATGGATCACCGTTGGCCACATTGCACATTCTTGCTTCTTATAGGTGGCCAGCCCCAGAGACAGGGACTCACCTGCCATCTTCATCCATGAGGACCATACCTGACCCCCTGTCTAGCCACACAGGTGCTTAATACATAGTGTTATGACTGAGATACATCCCAGTCCTCATTTTTTCTTTTGACACAGGGTCTCAAGTGTCAAGGGCTAGAAGGAAATTCTCCTTCAAAGAATAGCCTGACATTTACAAGAAACAGCCCCCTGAGAGACATCCTGCCTGGGAGACATCCTGCAGCTACCTATCTCCCTGGAACACCCTGCAGTTATCAGGATCATCAGACATCTTGCAGCTGGCAATTTTACCACCCACATTCAGCAATTGCTGATTAGAGAGCTTCCCCATCCCCAGCATATAAATACCCCTGTGTGAACAATAAAAATTTGCAGCTTGATCAGAACTCCTGTCTTGCTGTCATCCTTCGTGTCTCTTGTCCCTTCATTCCTCCCCTTCTAGGTTCACTGCCCACGTTGATGTGTCCTGCGGGTCGGGACATTTGGCGCCCAACATTGTGCACTCGAGCCTTTGACTGAGTAGGAACGCCGTCCTCCAGGAAGACTTGGCCAAGCAGAGCTCATGATCACCTCGGCAGACACGACCTAGAGACAGATTCAGGAGGAGAGTGGGGAAGACGCACGGTGAGTGACCCACCATGGGACAAGCAGTTTTGTCACATGATTTGTTTTTGTCAGGCCTCAAGGAGGCCCTTGGGGGGGGGCGCATGTTAAGAAAAATGACTTAAAATTATTCTTTTCATACATAGGAGAATTGTGTCCATGGTTTCCCCTTGAAAGGACCATTGATGGTAAAAATGGCTTAGAGTAGGAGAATGTTTAAAAGATTATTATGAATCCTTTGGCCCAGAAAAGGTGCCTGTTCCCACCTTTTCTTACTGGAACTTAATTAATGAAATTCTTAAAAGTTCACCCTTTGACAATGGTACCTTAAAACTTGTCAGGATTGGGGAGGAGGCTATGCAAAAGACGTCTCGTTCCTCTCATCCCCCCTCAGCATGCCCTTCAGTTAGTATAGACATAGACCCTTCTCAGTCTTCCCAGGACCCCGGGAACCTTCTTGTTCCCCCTCAAAATCCCACCCTAATGAATAATGCTCCAATGGTTACCAACCGCCTTTATCCAGTTTTAAATCCCGGAGACACATTGACCCCTGGGGAGGAGGCTACTTTGGAGAAGGAAGCAGCTCGCTACCATTCAGAAGACCTGCCACCTCTCAGAACCCTGCCACAGCCTATAGGACTTACAAATCCACCTCCCTCCTATATCCCTCCTGCCTTTTGTGCTCCGGCCCTTCAGGGGCCAACTGCCCCCTCAGATATTTTTTCCCCACTTCCCCTGACTAACCTGGCTCCCTTGCGAGAGTCTCTCCAACATAGACGAGAACAGATCCAACTTTTAAAAGAATTAAGATCCCTTGACACTGAGCTCTGCTCATTAGCCTTAGGCACAGAGTCAACCCGAGCTGGCCCAAGGCGGTCTAATATAAAGGCTAAGCTACGCCATCGGCCTGTTCTCCCCTTCCCAGTCACCCGCAGTCAGACAGATAAGCCCACCCAGGTTGAGGAGAAAGAGGAGGATCAGGAGGAGGAAGGGGGGAGTGGGGGGTGGTGGGGAACGGATCAAGGGGACTAAGCGGGGGAATGGCAGGAGGAAGATCAGGACTCAGAGGATGAGGAGTTCACCCCTAGGCAGGAAGGAACCCAGAGTGTCTACAAAAAATTAAGCCTGCATTTTCTTGAAAACCTTAAAAAGGCTTGTGCTCATTATGGACCCACTGCGCCCTACACATTGGCTTTATTAGAGAGTCACAGTGCACAATGGCTTACTCCTAATTATTGGAAATTTTTAGCCTGAGCTACCCTCAGTGCCAGAGACTTCCTCTTATGGAATGCAGATTTCAAAGAGCACAGTCGGGAAACTGCTCAAAAAAATTTAACTAAGGCCTCCTCTAAATCCTGGACTTATGTTAAGCTAGTGGGCAATGCACCCTTTGACACTAGCCCTAAACAGGCGCGTTTCCCTGCTGGACTTTTGGCGCAGATTCAGACGGCTGGCTTACATGCTTGGAGATGCCTCCCTCAAAAGGGCTCAGCTACCACTTCCCTGGCAAAAATTTGACAAGGGCCTAACGAGCCTTATAGAGACTTTGTTGCCCAGCTCAACCTAGCCGCGGAAAGGCTGCTTGGACCAAGCAAAAGCAAAAGCGCCTTTGTAAAACATCTTGCCTTTTAAAACACCAACCCGGCATGTCAGGATGTTCTTTGACCACATAAGGATAAAGGAGAACTTTCTGACTTTATTAGACTCTGTGCCGGGGTGGGTGCAGCCCATGCCATGGGTCTCGCCATAGGTGCCGCCTTTACCAAGGCCTTTCACAATCCTGGCTCACGTACTTGCTTTATTTGTAAACAACCTGGCCATTTTGCACATGAGTGTCTGACAGGCAAACAAAGCCTCCTCAAACCGGGGCTAAACCGCCCCCAGCCACCCTTTGCCCTAGATGTGGTAAAGGTTGTCACTGGGCCAATGAGTGTAGATCTAAGACAAATGCCCTTGGACAGCCTATTTCTTCCTGCTTCCAGGGAAACTCCTTTCGGGGCCAGCCCCTGGCCCCGACCTCCCCTGGGACAAACCCAGGGGCAATAAGGTTAGTTCCCTCCCAAACTCCCAACCTACCTCAAAATCCTTCTCCACAATTGCCTCCTTCCAACAAGCAACCCCAGGCAGCGCAGGATTGGACCTCTGTGCCACCACCAATACAATATTAGACTCCATGCAAGGGCCCCAGATAATACCCACTGGAATTATGGGTCCCCCTCCATCTCATACGTGTGCCCTTATTCTTGGAAGAGCCTCTACTACCTTACAAGGTGTTCAGGTTTTCCCTGGCATTATTGATAATGATTTCACTGGAGAAATAAAAATACTGGCCAAGCTATCCAAGGTAATGCCCAACTGATGTGGTAACTCATTCCATCTTTCCAATTTTTGTTGGCTCCATTCAAAAGGCCACGGAGTTACACAATCTTCACCATCTAAATTCCTAGAGCCTTCAATTACTTTGTAAAGTTATCAGGCAACAGGCACGAGAAATAGTAAAAGCATGTCCTTCTTGCACTGTCTCTCTCCCCATTCAACACTTGGGAGTTAACCCCCGAGGATTACTGCCCAATCAGGTTTGGCAAATGGATGTTACTCATTTTCCTGAATTTGGAAAAACCAAATATATACACGTTTCTATAGATACCTTCAGTGGCTTTATTTTTGCATCACCACATTCCAGAGAGGCTACCAAAGATGTCCTTTCTCATCTTGTTTCAGCCTTTTTCGTAATGGATAAACCAATACATATTAAACAGTTTTGTGCTACC